AGGTACGTTTCTCTTCCCTCATCTCATCACTTCCCTCCAGTCAACTTCCTTCCGTATTGCCCCTAACTACGGTCTCTTCAAATTAATGGAGAGAATAACAATAATAATAGTCAAATAATAACATAATAATAAAACAATAATAACAGATAAATAATCAAAATGGCATGAACTTTCAGTCAAGTAGGTGGGCATCATTGCACTTTACACCTATTCCTCCTTCTAAGTTGATATGCACCCTCCCCCCTTTTCCATCACGCCTCCTCCTTTCTTCAGTCTTACTCCACCTCCCACCACCGGTTCATACCAGGGGCAGATTCCTGGTCAGGAGCAAGGCAAGAAAGACGACCACATCGACTGAAGCAACTTTGGACACGAGACAGGAAAAAAAAGCCTTGGTAGCAGCGATCCCGCTGCATATGTCCGTTCCTACAAAGAGAAGCACGATGAAGACAACCTCGAGTCCCCCCGATGGAAGCAGAATGGAGATTGTTATGACGAGCTGAGCTACTTGCTTCTGGTTCTCTCTTCCTATTCGGTACTACATCAGGTCAGATCCCATTCAGGTCCGTCGCATCCAGATTGATATGTACTTTTAGCAAACGCATGGGCAGTTGGATGCCAACGGAATGAATCTTTCGCTGAAACGTGGAAATATACACTGTCACTTTTCGATTTGCTCATTCTATCGATCCAAGCGGCGTGCGACATGGTGCGGGTCGGAGACTTAGTTGTTGGCCACGGCTAGAGACTTATCATCTCTCTCTCTCTCTCACTCTCACACACACACACAACAGAAACGCACGCCGCACATACTCAAGTTGTAGCGTAGCTTCCTTTGTAGAGCAGTAGGAGCGTTCGGTGTTGCTCATCCTACCGTCGGAAGTAGAGTGACGCCCCTGGCGAAGTAGGAACATACACACCCTTGCTCACACTCACACACACACACACACATGTGTAGTAGTGAGAACTTCGACGCTGTGGGGGGTGGGGAAGATTCGATCGTTTTCTTTTTATCCGAGGAGGTGGCAGAAGGACTGCCGAGGGGTCGGAGACTTACCTCTCTCTTTCTTCTCGCCGAGTTCGTTGTGGCTGTACGCCGACGCGTCCCCACCTCGCAGGTAAATGCTAAATCTTCTTCTCCTTCCGCTTCCTTCTTCTCCTCCTCCTTCTTCCTTTTCTCCCCCTTACTTCTTCTTCTTCTTCTCACGCCTCACCTTCACGTTCTTTTTCTCCCCTTCCTTTACTTTTCCCTCCTCCTCTCCTGCTCGCTTTCCTTGCCTGTTGGCTCGCAAGATAGCGCAAGCCGCTCGTCCGTGCTTGCTTGTAAGTCTACGAAGGCCTGCGCTAGCATCCACTGCTCTCGCGTTCGCTCGCGCATTCACGAATGCTCACGCCTGCCTCCCCATTCCCTACTTAGTTCATTTTCTCGCCCTCTCGGCCCGTACGCTTGCCGCTGCGCTTTTCGCCTATCCCTTTACTCCTGCGGCTTCCTTCTCCCGTCGTGCGGCTCATATTACTTTCGTTGAACCTGCCCAGGATTAGGAGGCAGATCCTTGAGGGGCAATGTATCGGAGATAAACCACGGTGCCTAAATCCTGAGTAAATAAAATATAATAAAAAAAAAAAAAAGGAAGAAACGAATTCTGACAAACAAAGGTGAAAATAAAAAAAATAAAAAAAACAGAAGAGAGACTTTAACCGCTAACTACCCCGTTGTGCCAACTGTCACAACGGGCTTAACCGTAATAATTCTCAAATTTGAGGTCACGGGTTCGAGTCCTGTCTCCTCAAGGCAGTCCGAAGTGGTGGTCGGGTGGCTGCGAAAAAGAGCTAGCCTGAGGCCGGATGGACTTGATCCCTGAATCCCTAGCACATCAATCTGCACCTATACCTACTGGGCTAGCTCCTAGCTTGGTTACGATGGAAGCAGCTCTACTATAAGTAAGGTACAGGCGGGTTCCGTCGGTGTAACAGGCCCCCAGCCTGTTATCTAATGGTAGTTTAGACCATTCACGGGTTTTGCTGCCTACCATGGTAGGCAGCACGCCCCTTTCGGCTGCCCTGGCCATAAGGCAGGCTCATAACTAACGTATCTTGTTGCTTTAGTCCGAACCTATTAACTAAGTGTGTCGTTGTCGCATCCTGCGTGACTCCCTTTTTGTTAGATTAACCTTCCGGCCTCTGTGGTCGGCGGTTTATTTTACTAACCCTTCTCCAGTCTCTGCGCGGGTCAAAGTGGCGCGCACTATCATTCAAATTTTTTTAACCCACTTAACTCTTACCGTCTCTGTATTCGTCACGACAAAGCAGGCGAACATTCGAAAAAATTTGACCATCGACTCTAGTCTGTGCGCGCCGTATTTCGGCGCTTGCGCTGGTAAAACCTTCTCGATCATAACAGTTGAGGGATTTGCCTCATTTCTCGTTTTTAGCCGTTTTCAACCTGCCTGTTGATGCCGACATTGTGTCGACTACAAAATCATGAGAGGATACCCTTGTAAGGATATCAACTCCGACAGTTTTTCCAGACCCCATTAAGCGACGTTCCCGTCGATTGGGAATCTAAATGCAAACAAAAGGTTTTCTGACGGGACAAGTAGTCAAAATTTGATCCCCTGGATCAAGTTGCAGTTCGGAGACTCTCACTGTCCCCCTTGGTGCGTCCATGCTGCCAGGATTTTAACCTGGGTCTCCCACATATCCAAAAATGACAATTCCCAAGAAAGGATTATTCCATATAAACCCAAGTGGGCATATTGGATCTGTACTAAAGTTGCGGAGGTCACCAAGGAAGACAATGATAGCTCCTCCCCCCAACTTTAGACTTTATTTTGCCAGGATCTCGTTGGGTGTCCGAGGAGTTAGGAATCAAAATTTGAATCCCACTCTTTGCAACAGAAAAAATGTGCCAATTTTTTTGCCACGTTGGACCTATGTTTACACCACATTTCAACTGTTTATAAACTGCTGGCCGGGGGGGGGGGGTGTATGTTCAACACAAAATGAAGGAAACCAACACTGGCCGTATATTGGGGACACTGAAACTTGTGTGTTCAACTGTTGGACCAACTGTTGAAAAACAGTTGGTCCAACTGTTGATCCATTGTTGGTGGCTTGTTGAAATGTTGTTGAAAGTTGTTGGAATGTTGTTGAAACTTTGTTGAAATGTGTTGAACCGTGTTGAAACTGTGTTGAAATTTGTTGAAGCAGGGTATTGGACCGTATGCACTAGCAGTTTCTACACAGGTCATTTGCGTTGTCCGGGGGTGGGTTGTGATTGTGTTTTCCTCGTTTTGTGGTGAGCACGTTTTGGAGTACGAAGATCACATGGGCGAGCGTTGGGTGTGCGCGCGCCGACCTGGCAC